GCACCGGCACGGACGGCAGCGGCGGCGAGAGGACAGCGGGAGGCCGGGCGGCGATCAGGAGCATCCCGGAAAGGGTCCCACAGGGCGGAGGGCAGAGACGGCGCCCAGCAATCCAGGAATCCAGTTCAAGCCCACCGTGCACACGCAGGGCACAGTCCAGTTTCCACCACTGTCTCGTCAGGTCTGGGCCGCGGCCATCGCTCCTGGCTTGGTAATAAAGAAAACAGGTTCTTCCCATCGCTTTCCTGGCGTGGAAACACAGCTTGCAGAGAAGGCCGTGAGTCCCGGGAGCACTGAAGCTACAGTCCATGCGGGACAGAGGACAGGGAACTGGCCTAGCCGCCAGCGTCAAAATCAGAAATGAAAATCAGTCACGAGGGTCTCCACACGAGAAACGCTCTGAATTAAAGAAACAAAAAACCTTCAAATATTAAACAGTTAAATTCCTCTTGCTAAAGGTCATTTATTTACATATTATATGTCCAGGATATAACATGTAGATAAACGTGTCCTGCGGTAAAAGTGCCCGACTCCTGGACTGCACGGCACATCACAGGACAGATTCTTGAAAAGGTTCTGCTCACACTGGGGTCTGGCCAGGGCTGGGTGAGACACAGGAGCACTGGAGAGCCAGGGGCGCCGCCTGCCTCTCTCCGGAGGGTTGAAGGAAGGATCATGCACAGAAGACACAGGTTACACACCCAGCCCCACCCCGCCCCAACACCAAGCGGGAGGCCCTCTGCCCACCGGGCCACAGGAAGGGAAGAGCCAGGGTGGGGTCTGCGCGTCAGTCTGGTTCCCCACTCCTTGGCTCCCGGGAGTCTGCAGTCATCTGATGCCCGGCATGGAGCTCTGAGGGGAGACCGAGTACGTGGCGGCCACAAGCGGGGTGCCGTTGTTGGCAGAGTAGCCTTGCCTCAGCGTTTCAAAGTACGACGCCTGCACAGGTTTGTGACACTGCAGCACTTTTACAGCCTCTTCTATCTTAAACCACTCCCTTTTCCTTCCTGTGAGGGCGGAGAAAAGACAACAGTACAAGTGGAAGCAATGAAGATGTTTCCCAGCCTACAAGTTTTGAGAAAATGTGCACAAAAACATTAAAGCGGTATTTCTCAATATTTTTAAAATATGTAGTTTATACATATATAATTTCCTTTTTCTTTTCTTTTTGTTTTTTGAGACAGGGTCTCACTCTGTAGTTGAGACTGACCTGGAACTCACTATGTAGCCCAGGCTGGTCTCCAACTCACAGTGATCCTCCTGCCTCAGCCTCCTGAGTGCTGGGATTACAGGTGTGCGCTACCACGCCTGACCTTTTTTTTGGTTTTTTGAGACAGGGCCTTGCTATGTATTGCAGGCTGGCTGTGAATTTGCAGCGATCCTCCTGCCTCAGCCTCCCAAGCGCTGGGATCACAGGCATGTGCCACCACACCCTCCTCAACAGTTAATGTTGTACTGAAAAAATGTGATAAATTGTCACTTTTATATTTCCTCTTATACTATCTTATAAAAACACACAATTTTTGGTCATCCTGTATGTAAATAATTGTACTGTTAAGTGGTTCATGTCCCAGGGAAAGAATCTGAGGGTAAGGCCCACCATGATAAAGCATCGGAACTGTTTTCCAGAAAGGCCGTTCTGCTCACCAAAGCTGGAATGCATCTCTCACAACCTGAATGACACCACTGCCTTTTCTTCCTTGCTGCCAACTACAGAGGTGAAAACTGGCATTGGGGCACAGCTGTCTTAGTTTCCAAAATTTCGGCTCCTTTTTTCCCCCAGTATGAGGCTTGACCCAGCTACCTCCTTAGCCCTTTTACCTGAAACTTTGAGACAGTCTTGCTCAGGTACTTGGGCTGGCCCTGAACCCACAACCCTCCTGCCTCAGCCAATACCCGGCCCCACATCCTGTTGTAATGTGGCTCTGCTGGTGCACAGGTGACTTGGGGCCCTGCGCTGCCTTTACGAACACTGCGCCCCAGGCTCGCCCCTGCACAGCTCTGCTCTGCGCCGTGTCTCCCCGCCGTGACATTCATGAGGGGACTCACTGTGTTGACTACACACTTGGCAAGGGGCAGCAGGTGAGAAGGCCAGGGGCTCACCACTCACCTCAGAGATGATGCCATGTGGTGCTGACAGAGCAGCATGGAAACTTAAAACTCGGGTGGCCAGGGCCACGTCGCTACCCCTGTCCCTTTCCAGGCCCAGCACTGGTGCCAACATTGCTGCGCTGGGCTCATTGACGCAGGCACGGCATCGCCAGCGGGCACCGAGCCCTCGGCACCAATGGCACCAAGAGCCAGCTTAAGAACACGTGGGGCACAGGGACGAGGACAAAGCAGCAATAACGGAAAGGTCTGGTGAGGGAACGCTGCCCACTTGCCAGTCTAGAAGCAGAAGCCATGCTAACATCACACTCTCCCAGAAAGCACTTTCCTTAGGGTAAAAGGTTACACCAAGCCAACTACACCACCTCAGCCAACAGCTCAAAGATCTGAGAGGTCAAAGAAACGGCTTCGAGGGAGACAGCAAGGGCCCTGCAGGAGATGATGACAAATCTGGTGGCCACTTCCTGTCCCTCCACATCCATGGACAACTGCTGAGGGCTCATCCATCAAATCAAGTTTTCACTCACATAGGAAGGACTTTTTCCTTACAGCACCAGGGTTGAGCCCAGGACCTGTGCACTCAGCTACATCATCTGTACACATAAATACACTTTTTTTTTTTTTTTTTTTTTAGTACTGAGGACTGAATTCAGTTCCTTGTGCTTGTGAGGCAGGCAGTGGAACCACTGAGCTAAATCCCCAACCTGATACTTTTTTTTTTTTTGGAGACACAGTCTTGTTAAATTGCCCGGGCTGGGATGCAACCTGAAATCCTCCTGCCTCAGCCTCCCAGAATATTAGGGTTCCAGCATGTGCCATCACGCCCGTGTCCCCCAGTGCTGCGCACAGAGCACGGGGCCTCATGTATGCCAGGCAAGTGCTGCACCACTGAGCTATACTCAAGGCCACAGCATGGCTAAGTGTCACAAGAAGCAAGGACAAGGCCCAGCTCCACTGTCGGGCCCACCCAGTTCCTGCTTCAGGTACAGAGAATCAGCCCCATGGGGAGGAATCGTTGCTAATTCCCATGGGCCCGCTTCAGCCTCATTTTAGACATTTCCAAATACTTTCTCAGGTTCAAAGAAGGCGCTTAGCTTCCTAGGCATGCCCTGCTGTCCCTCCTCGTCCTCAGCAGGACCCCCGCTTCTGGCCAGGGCTGGCAGTGGCCAACTCACCAATGTTAACCGAGTCTTCCCAGTCCTCCAGCACTTCTGTGACAATGAGCACGTACACGTACGTCCTGTGCTTCCTCTCCTGGTTCTGAGGGCAAGAGAGGGCAGGAGAGTCAGACACACTTGTGCGCATGTCCAGGGAGCCTGTGCTGGCCTCTTAGTTCCACTACTGGAAAACCCTGGCCTTGGGCTGGCTTTTCAAACCCAGGCTCCACACTCACTTTTCCTTCTCCTTTCCCTATCGACAGCTTCCCAGCAATGTTTTGACTTCTCAAGAAAAAGTCCCCTCCACCGGCGATGCAGAGCCAGACTGAGGCAGTGTCGCTGGCCACCCCGGCCCTCGGAGGCCTCCAGCCCGCGGCTACTTACCTCCCGTTCTCCCCTGCACAACCACCCTCTCCCCCGTCGAAAGGAGGAAGACGGGAAGACAGGGTGAGCAACTGCACTTGTGCGGAGGAAAAGAGGCCGGGAGACTAAGGAGGAGGAACGGCTACTCGCTGCTGTGCTGCTCTGCTGTCAACTGGGTGAAATGCAGGGGCCTCACCCAGATCGGAAGGATGTGGTTAGACTAGACACGGACTAGCGACAGTGAGACTTACCTCAAAGACTCCGACTAATCTTCCCAGAGTCCCTTTTACTCCAGCCTGAAAAGGTAAGAAGAAAAATGAACATACTGATCTCGTTATGTTGTTAAGTCTTCCCAGCAGTCTTTTGAAGAGGAAATGAGAATCAAGATACAGCTTGAGTGGACTGAGGCCCTGTGGGGCAACGGCCAGGCTGGGCACAGCGGGCTCCGGGAGCGAGCGCCCCGTCCAAAGTTCGCCAGAGGGGGGCCACCAACTGGGACCAAAGAAGCTGCGCAAAAAATGGCTTTTGCTGTTAACTGCTTCGTTTATTCTCTCGTGCAACACACACACGCCCCAGCCAATGTGAACGGCAGACAGCGTGGGTGCCACGCAGAAGGACAGGCGAGAAGGAAGAGGTGGAGGAGCGGGAGCAGCCCGCAGGGCAGCGTCCAGGGACAGCACCGCAGTGCGAGGGTGCCCCGTAGTCATGCGCTGGGGTGGCAGGCGTGCGTCCCCACACCCGATGCCCTTAATATTCGCACTTTCTATCTTCCAACACCATTTCCCATTTTTTGTGTCTTTCTGATACATCACAAATGAATTTCCAGTCTATGCCCTTCACTAATTTCCAAGTATATCCAAGCTGGCCTCTCTCCCGTTCTCTTCATATCTACTGGTTTTTACCCAGCCCTGGGGGCAGACAGCGTGGCTTCCGTTCAGCTCTTCCCTTACTCTCTGAGCCTGTGGAGTGCAGGCCCCGCGTGGGCCTGTCGGCCAGGGTGGATGTGCAGTCCACGCTCGGGTCTGGGCCTCTCTTGTGCCCAGCCGGGATGGACGGGGCCGTCAGAGGGGCACCACGGGCAGGGCGGTGCCGCACGCTCAGCACCCCTGGGCCCAGGCCTTCACACAGCCTCCGCTCCCACGACCTTCCGCTTGCTCCCAACCACGCGTCAGGAGGGACCGGGTCCCCTGACTCCCAAGGGCCGACCGCAGGCCACCCACTGCCAGCCGTATGCAATTCTGTTTCGTTCCTGATTCACCTCCCTTTTGGGCCAGGCTATGTCTTTTTGGCACCTGCTGCATGTGTTGTATATATTTATGTGTATTTGGTGGGGGCAGAAGGAACGAGAAGCGAGGGACAGAAAAACCCCTAAAAGTGCTTTCCTATCCTAGGTAATGCTAGAATTCACATTATATTATTATTTTGTTTGTTTGTTTTTGTTTTTTGAGACAGGGTCTCACTATGTAGTTGAGACTGACCTGAAACTCACTATGTAGCCCAGGCTGGTCTCGAACTCACAGCAAACCTCCTGCCTCAGCCTCCCGAGTGCTGGGATTACAGGCGTGCACCACCACGCCCAGCCACATTACATTATGACTGCCATGTTATTTGTGTAATAAATTAAAAATCAAGGTGAAATACTTTGAAACACAGTACTCAGTAAGTTTATAAAGAATGAACAAAGTTTTCAAAAGTATTCTAAAACTCTTTTTTCAATTTCAGGAATTGAACTCAGGACCTTGTGCTTGCCAGACAGGTGCAGTACAGGGCCAGGAATTTAGCTCAGTGGTTCCACCACCTGCCTGCCTTGTAAGCACAAGGACCTGAGTTTAATCCCTGGTACCAAAAAAAAAAAAAAAAAAAAAGAAAAAAAAGGCACACACTCAACTAATTGGCTGTCTCTGAGCTTTTCAGACAGGTAGGGTGCTGCTGAGCTACATCCCCAGCCACCCCACCTCTTTTTATTTGAGAAAAGGTCCCACCATGTAATCCAGACTGGCCTTGAACTCACAGCAATTCTCCCACCTCAGCCTCCCAAATGCTGGGATTATAGGCGTGCACCTAGCTCTAAAACTCTTGAGACATTTAATAGCAGAAACAACAGGCACTGATTTAAAGGCCTGGGCCCCTAGAAGACATACACTATTTTGAAATTAGTATCTGCTAACTATCCGCCAAGGAATCTTGTTTCTCTCTCACCAACATGCCAGCTTTCTCTACTGTTTTACACCCGTTCATTATATCCATCCACCCATGTGGCTTTTGGTCTCCTTGAACAGAAATGTCTATCTTTTCTTAAATTGCTCCTCTCTCTTTTTTTTTTTCTCTTGTACCAGGGATTGAACTCGGGTCCTTGTGTTTGTGAGGCAGGCAGTGGCACCACTGAGTTAAATCCCCTGCCCTCTTACATTTTTAGAAATAATTGCCCTTTGAAGCCAACCAAAACTAGCGAGCTTTCATCTCATAAATTAACCAACATAAACTGCCTGCCCGAACAAGGGAAAAGCAGAAGGGCTGGAGAGCCAGCTCGCTGCTAGATCCAGGCAGCTGAACAGTGGCCTCCAAAGGCTGTGTTACCAGCCTAGGGCTGCGAGCCAGGCGGGGAGTGAAGCAAAAGAGCAATCTGGAGAGGCTACCACTCACCTTTCTGTTCTGAAAGGTGGAGAGAACATTCCCTTTAGCAGCTACTGTCCAACTAGATTCTTTTTCCTTAGAGAAATCAAGTTTACCTGGGCATGGTGGCGCACGCCTGTAATCCCTCACTCTGGGAGGCTGAGACAGGAGGAATAAAAGCTTGAGCCTTGCTTGGGCAATTTATCCAGACCCTGTCTCCATCAACTAATCAACGATCAGACTTACAAAGAGCTGAGGATGTACCTCAGTGTTCAGAGAAACACACATCTTCCAAACTTCAAGGGAACAAATTATTTACTATTATTACAAGTCAATATAACAAAGTTTTTGTTTAACAGTAATTTCTGCATTTAACAATATATATGATTCACTGTCAGAGCAATTGGAGAAAATATAAAAGCACCTTCCAGTATGAAATAGCTGTGTTCTTTTTTTTTGGTTTTGTGAGACAGGGTCTCACTATGTAGTTGAGACTGACCTGGAACTCACTACGTAGTCGAGGCTGGTCTTGAACTCACAGCGATCCTCCTGCCTCAGCCTCCCGAGTGCTGGGATTACAGGCGTGCGCCACCATGCCCAACTACTTTCATCTTAATTAACCTTCAACTTGTACAAATTTGTCCTGAGCCTTCTTCAGATTTTAGACTAATACTAATTTAAAGTGGTCCCACCAACAATTTTACAAGAAAAAAGCAGAAAAAGATTCCAAAGTTTAATAGTTTCTAGAGCTGAGATCTAGCCATTGTCTCAGGAAGAGGACAACTGTGACAAGGATTTAGGGGCTGGGAGCGGTGTGGTGGTTCAGTACTGGCTTGCATGTGCACAGCCCTGGGTTCCATCCCAGCACAAGAAAGCAGAGGGGAGGAGAGGGGAGGGAAGAGAGATCAGTTTAGTCCGTGACAGGAAGTGGAAGATTCCTCACAGGCAGGGTCCTCCGAGACAGTGTCCCCCTAAACTACCTTACTTTTCACAATTCTCCCAGACCCAGAGTCCAACCTCATTTCCTCATTTCTCTGAAATGTTGCCCCAGCAGTCTGAGAGTGGGTTATTTTTATCTCTCACATGATGCCTGCACACTGGCCAGAGAGGTGTCAAGGCCACATCTGACCTGTATCTGGTTCCGATCTGGGGCGGTTAGATGCAGGGTATATGGAGGCTTGGTTTGGTCAGGTCAAGGTGCTGTAATGGACCCATTTTTCTCAAATCACATGAAAGCAGTTACAATTTCAATTTTTGTGTCAAAAACAGCCCCTAATTTGGAGGTGGCTATTTTAGTATATGTGCTGTGAGCACTGGAGGAGCCTATTTTAAAACTAACAGTGACAACTCAAAATAAGATAATCTATTGTCATCATTCAACCAAGAGCGTGAGTGAACCCTTGAATCTCAGAATGCAGTACCAATTCCAGCACTCAGTTAACAAAAGCCATGTAACTAAGCAGCTGCCAATTTGACAGAAGAAAAAACCAGGAGCACCTATTTCCTGGGGGAGCTTTATCGCCCGGAATGAAATGCCTTCTGGAAAGCGGTGAGGTGGGCTGAGCAGGGAGGCAGTGGGGACTCAGCTCCGCCAGGACCTCCTCCCACCACGGCACAAGACCACGTTTCCCTCTGAAACCTCATGTTCCCACAGGCGCGGTGCCGTTTCGCCTCTGGGTGCCCCTGGCCTCCTGGCCACCAGAAGGCCAGGCCCTGTGCAAGTGTGGGCCAGGGTGGCGTGAGCCAGTGCAGCCCATGGCTCTCAGGGGGCTGAGTCTGGGAGGCCTGCAGGGAAGATCTCTCACCAGGACAAGAGGCTGCGCGAAAAGAAAGCCTGTGCCTCCTTGCTGGTCAGTGGGGCCCTGAAACCCAGAGCTGCTGCAGGCATCTTGTGACAAGGCAGAGCAGTGACCCACAGGTGATGCGGCCAATTCTGGACTTCACGGGGGGACCAGAGCCACCTTAGCCAGGCCATTATTTGCAGCTGAAAGCTCGAAGAAGACTAAATCCCAAAATAACCCTCAGCATCTAAGGAAACTGGCACAGAATCAAAGTTCCCTGCTAAAGCAGTAAGCCCAGTCCCGAAGGAGCCTGGGAACAATTCCTGCAGGCACCATACAGGGAGCCCAGGATAGATGTGGGGCGCCGTGCAACCAAGACAAGAACAGGAAGCCAGCCGAGGCCGTGTGGTGAAACCATGGGGCTTATTTACCTATCTAGTGTTTTTTGAGACAGGGTCTCACTATGCAGTCCAAGCTGGCCTCAAACTTGCTAAAGTGCCTGGGTTGGGCTTGAACTTGTGGTTCTCCTGCCTCAGCCTTCCAAGTACTGGGATTAGTACACATGAATATTTGTACTCTATGTTTATTTTTCTTTTTTTTGGTACTGGGGATTTAACTAGGGTCCCTGCGCTTGCAAGGCAGGCCACCGAACCGCTGAGCTATTCCCTAGCCCTCTATGTTTATTTTTTTTAACTGCAGTGGCTAGGATCCCAGCAGCATTACGGCAGGTATAACGATTTATTCCTTCCTGTAACAGGAATGCTTTGAAAATTTCAAAAATGTGGTGCTTGCTAATGGTTTTATTAGACATCTGCTGATGGGACCCTTCATCTATCAGGGCTGCACCCTCCCTGGCCTCAGACGCGAGAATGAGAGGCTACCGCGTAGGAGTGGCTCTCGGT